AAAAAATTGGGGGGGGGGGGGGGGCGCCTATAGCAAACCAATTAAAAATGACTCTTGGAGTATCTTAATTAAGTGAGATACAACTTGGACTGGAACGAGTCAGACGACTATCGATCTTTGAGAAAGTGAAACTGCTATCGGTAACAATAAAAAGTACATATGAAAGCATCTTACTCGACGGATCAATCCAGCTTAATTATTTGCACAATTAAATAATCTGAAGGAAGTCACTACGTCTCCAGGTCAGACACGAGGACTTCTAGTAACAGAGGCAACGAAATTTATTTAAAATTGAAATCAACCCTACATATACTATGCATTATTGATTTCGGACCTGAGGAATGTCAAGTTTATCAATCGCAGAGGAATTTTTGACGACAGGCATTGGCGCTTACTCCAAGTAGCATTAACCTCTCGAATCTTGCACTAGATAGTGGTGTCTGGGGTGGAGTTTCCAGACAGTACCATAAGGGGCTGGTAAAAGATCAGCTTCGTTATCTCTCGCCTGGTGTCGAGTTGGGCTCCAGAGTAATCCTTCTAAATCCCCAACAATACCTGGAGGGTATAGCAGCCATTAGTGGAAAGTTGGTGGGAGGCAAAAATGTGGGTTAAAAAAAATATATTAATATACTTTTCAACCAGTGAGATCGTCCTTGTCGATTTGAAAATCTTGGACTTAGGGCATTTCGTATTTGTTCCCTCGTTCACTGAATATACGTGTGCGCTATGTGAATATGATTTTTTAAAAAAAGTACCAAATTTTTGAGACACCCCATACGTGACAGGATGCGTGTGCATGTAAGAGCGCCAGACGTACCATCTCTCACGACCCCTCAAAGAGTCGAGCGGCTTTCGTCTTTTATTCTGGGTCCACTGTCGGATAAAAAGAGAAGACGAAGAGCCCGAAGAGCTGCCTTCTCGTGGTTACCAGAGGAGTGGGATAAAGAGGGAAAAAGAAGACGAAGAATAGGATAAAAAGAAGAAGACGAGAGGAAAGTAGTATCCTTAAAAAAAAGGAGAAGATGAGAAGTCAAGGAAAAGGTAAGAGAGTCTACAGGTAAAGAGAGCTAGAAAAAAAATTCTCATACATGTACACTGGATCACAGCTTAAAAAAAAAGCGATATTCTTTTTGACGTAGGTAGCGAAGAGGATTTGGAAAAAAGAATTATTAAAGCCAATTCAAGATTTTGCATCTATGCCAAAATCTAGGAAATTTCTAATCTCAGTGGCAATTACTCGCAACGTCCATGCGTGTAGATCGTTCCCAACTGTGTCCCTGGTTCCCAGTGGAATGGTAGCTTTTACGAGTCCTGGTCGTGACTGTACTCCAGTACCCCGGCGAAGCCAGGGCATGTCTGCAGGAGCTTTTATGGGTTGTGAACAGGTCGTGCCTCGCTTGTAGACCTCTACGTACTCTCTTATGCGCACGTGTGCCTTTCTGCTGGTTGACACGTAGCTACGTAGTTACGTATCTGACGGTAGATAGGTACCTGGATACCTACGTTACGTAGGTAGATACGTAAGTACCTACTGCAAGGCTCTCTGCGTATCTCAAAGCAATTATGCGGCTACTTTCAGGGAACTCGTTGCCTTCCTATACTGGTATCCAGCACGTGATACCCACACCAGCCCTGACTGGATAGGGTACTGGATCGTAAAGAGCATTCCTTGCTCTCTGATGCATCGGCGCTGGATCGGACCTTATAGCGAAGACTATATTTTCCCACGGAAAAATTGCGTCCTCGAGATAAGTGTGGATGCTGCCGTAGAGTGTTGTGTACCACTTAATGCCAGATTTGATGGAAGAATAAAATCGGAAGCACTGGGTCTACGTGGTAGCAGCTAGTTGATATCAGGTACCAACTTGGTTGCCTGAGGGAAACCGAAGATACTGCCAGGTGCCAAGATAGGAAATTTGAGGAGGTACTAAAAAAAAAAAGTGCCTTTACAGGTTTTTCCTTCGAAACACCCTTATGGTATACTCTATGGGGTATATCGTCTGTGCACGAGTTTTCGTAACACCCTGTAGAAGGAGTGCGCGTATAAGTTGACTCTGCATACAGTAAATATGCGCGGAGCCACCCAAGTGGACCACCCGCCAACAAGAGTGAGGAACGCAGAACGCGGAACGTGGTGAACACACGGGGGAACATCGTGGGGCAACGGTTACGAGAATAACGCGCACGCAGGGCTTTATGGCCACGCCTAAAAACAGTCGCTCGACTTAGATAGGCCGCCTCTGTATAGCACGCGAGCACGCGCTCATTTGCTGGCTCTAAGATTTTCCGACGAAAGGAACGTTCCTCGAGGAGTGTACAAATCTTTGTGCTTGATCCACCAAGAGGATCCTGGTTACTCCAGCAGAATGAAGATATCTTCGGGAGCCATCGCTAATGTACGGAGTAAAAGTTGAAGAGGAGTCGTGGATACCTCAGTCCTGGTATGTCCAATTGGTACAGGCTGAGTACCAGGACCACGTATTTACGTTTTGGAAATGGGTGGCCGTTGAAAAAGTTTGGCTAACTGCGAACCTGGAGCGTGGGTCGCTATCAGCTAGTGGTACTGGGGTTGGGGCATGAAGGGGATACTGGCCCTGTGCTGGCTGGGATTGCTAGGGACCCCTGTCTACGTGGGAGCGGTCGACGACGGACGCACTCTCTCTTTCTCTGTCCTTCTCCGACCCATGGCTTTTGGTGTTTATCTCCTTCTCTTTCCCACTCCTCTACCAGCTCACACTCTGGACTCCTACGGTTCACGTCCGTCCGTCCCACTCTCTACTCCCACTCCGCGGAGGGTTCTGCGCCGTTCATCCTATCCCACCCTGTCCCCTTGCTCTTCTGCCCATCCCGGTGACCCTCTCCGCTCGATATGACACCCCACTCCGGCGCCAGCCGTCGACGGCTACGGACTGCTACGGCTACGGCTGCACAAGCACTCACGGAGGCAAGTCGCGGTTCTACCACCCCACCCCGTGGCCACTAGCTTCCCCTACCTTGACAGGGTGCCGCCAACGTAGCACCGAAGCACTGTACGGACCAAGCAACGAAGCACCGTAGGGATCGTAGCCACGTAGCACTGCAGGGCCGTAGCTCACCCTGGCAGAACCCACGTCGACGCTTCCTCCCTGTCCTCCGCCCCCTTGACTCTCCCTCCTTCTGCTCTTGGTCTCGAATTCTCGTTCCACCATCGCCTCATACCCCGTTACACCCCTTGCGAGACTCGAGGACTCGTACTCATCCCACCACTAGGAGGAAACTCCTCACCCAGCAAGTCCTCCTCCATCCAGGTTCTCGTACCATTGACGATGAACGGCAACCGCCCTGGCATGCCACGTCCGCTATCACCCACGCGAGTCAACTACGTCACTGGACGAAGCTTAAAGGCTCGTTCACACTTGATGAAGCCCTTTTTTTTCTAGGACAATGATGAGGGAATGCTCATGCTTGATTGGTGATAGCGATTCGGGGGGACAAATGGATTGAGGGGAGGGCTATTGACAATTTTCACAAATGGCACGAACAATGGCTATCGCATTTCCTAGCTATCTAGACTGGCTGGTACGCAATGGATCCTCCAGTTACGCAATTATCGGTTTTCTCTCGAAAATGGCATATCAGCCGCTTGCTATGAACGTGGCTGGCTTTGATCGTTCACTCGAAATTTTCACAAGGGGCTTCCCCGGGGCCCTTTTGTGGATTCTCCAATCCGAATGACGGTACGGTCCCTGGGATTTTAGCTGGGATTGCCTAGGGATTTTTATTTTTCTCTCTTTTGGCATTACTTTATGGTGCCTGGCTTAACCTCTGGTTATATTGAGATACTAAACCTTTTTTTTTGCTGATTACAGGGGTAGTCACTGCAGTCGTGGCGAGTAACGCTCTTCCTATCATTAGGGGATGGATGATTGCTCTTGGCCACGGTCCAGGATTCCTCCTACTTCCGGAACGTTTCCGTCGTCGCGTCATTTCCGGTCCCCTTGTAATTTTCATGCTATAACGGCACGTGCTCCCCCATGCGTTTATACGCTCTATGGTCCCGAAGAGTTTCTTTACCGACGGCTGAGAATTCAATGAAAATAGTGCGTGCGACTTTGTCCTCCCCTAATGGTCAAAGGTTGGCCGAGGATAGTTGATCAGCCCTGTAATTTTCTTCGCCTGCACCATTTTTTTTCACACGTAACTTTCATATGTAATTACAGTTACTCTTTTTAGTTCTGAACACGCGTCATGCATTTGTCTGGATATGAGCCCGCAACATTTTACTAAATATGAAATGAGTCTCGACTTTCTTTACGTTTGAAAAAAAGCGTTTGGGCATTCAACATCGTTCTTTCTGGTTCAGCCTATAGGGACGGTATAAACGAGTGGGACTGAGATGAGCGATCACTGTACCGGAAGTACAGGCTTAATTAAACGCTCACTTCTTTCTGTAGTCGGAAGACTTTGGGTGTCGAGATACTTCATAAAGTTTACTCTGTAATTATCAAAAATTTTTGAACTCCTATCCACAAGAACCAGGTGGACCAAGTGGAACAATTTACGGAAGAGAAAAGGGATATAGGAATTTAGTAATATCCACGAGGCGAACAGGTACCCTGTTTTACAAAAAATCATTCAACCTCACGTAATCTTTTACGGGAAATGAAATAGCATTTTTATCAATGATATTTATTAGGAAATTATCACCAAGTTATCAACTCGCACTAGCACGTGGTTCTTGTTGCAAAAGGCAGACGCGTGAGTTTACAGTGTCGGCCGCCTGGAAAATTGATGGTAATTGCACAGCGCCAGTCTGCAAACTTTGACCGAGGAGAGCAGCAGGATGGTCTGAGGTCTCTAGCCAAGTGAATCCAGTAGGGTTTTGTATGGGACGGTTGCCTGATATCACGAGTCAGAAGCCAGGAAGGCTAGAGAGCAAGTTTGCTCCTCCTGTCATATGCAGCCACCATCACAACGGGCGTTCGGTAACCATCTATCCAACCACTACCACCTACTCCATTCTAAATCCTCAATCAAACCATATTGAAAGGAGGGCAAATGTTGCATTAGCTTAGGTTAGAACACCTGTGACCTTGAAGATCATATCAAAGATGAAGTCTGGATTGCTGAAGAAGAATTGGTGTTCTTATGACTCAACGTCAGGTCGCTTTTTTTGTAAAGATGAATAGGTAAGGTTAAAATTTTATAAAAAAAAAATATTTTCTAGTGACAAAAAATCTTTGAATAGAAATATTTGTGAGCATTTACAAGCACAGCTAGACATTCCTGACAACATGTAGGCAGGTACAAGAAGTTGTAAAAATAAAGACGCATTTTTCCTTGGGATCTACTTGTTGGGACTACTGTCTTCAGAGTACAAGGTCTACAGACAGAAGGTTGAAGGTAATACGAAAGGTTGGGAAGTTCCCAACAAAGAGAAGCAGAAATCGAGAAAAATGTCCTTAGAGAAGCAGAAGAGGACGTCGAGAAGGAACCCTGAGGATGGGATCGATCTTGTCCAAGTGGAGTCCGTAGATACGTACATAGGCCCCTACGGCCGAAAGTCCTTCGGGAGAAATGAAGAGGGAATTAGAAGGTGAGTTGAGTAGGTTAGGATCTGGAGGATGGTAGGCACAGACCGGGTCCTGAAATTCAATTGAATTCTCGTTACAGGGAAGTTACAGGGTGGCTTCGTCGTGCCGTATTAATTATTCGGGCATCACAATCCCCGTTGCTCCTAGCCGCACCAGGAGCGTCAAACCGGAAACGATGGAGGAAGCAGAAAGAACGTCAGATGATTGGACGAAGAGTGAGTGGATACATTTAAAAGAAAACGAAGAACGGAGCAGGTTGGGATTCCACTATAGCTCCGGTTCATCCTTACTTCATTTAAGGATCTTGAATCTTTGATCCATTCAGCATCCGTCGCTGGTCATTCATTCTTTAAGCGTACCTTACACCAGGCCGTCATGAATTCTCGAGCTTATCACCCTTTGCGAAGGAGCTCCTGGATGAACGTCTGATAATCCATAAATGATTTGAACAATTAAAAACACCATAGAAAACAAAAAATTGAATTTAGGACATTCCAGAATAGTGAATGTATTCGGAAATCTATTTTTCCGTCACTTACAGACAGACCGTATCGGTGATAGGATATTAATAATATAACAGAGCCAAAACCAGAGAGGAAATTTTCCGAATAAGGTGTTCAAGGCTTACGTGTGCACCCGACATCTCCAGGCTTCACGGCCTTAATTATTGGAGCTGGAGATCCAAGCCGATGGCGACGGAAGCAGTGTTAGTGGCAGGCGCCACGTAATCCCCATTCCGACCCTGAAGCCATCGTCAATTCCACCCCCAAAGGAGGTGAAGAACCACGGCCCCCCTCTCCCTCCACCTAGAAACCCATGCTTCCTTAGCACCGGCGTAATCTATAGTTTGCTTCATCCCGTGTGGATCCAACGACGTTTGCTCTCGCCTAGACTGTCATCTCGAAGTCCACCCTCTCTCTCTCTCTCTCTCTCTCTTTGGCGTGCTCGACGTCCTGGAGTCAAGTATAGGGAACCCCGATAGCGTTAGACACCCTACGGTGAAACTGTAGCACCCCTGCGAGGGCGAGGGAGCCTGATCGAATTACATGCGTTCTTCCGTCTCTCTGATCATCCCCAAGTCTGTCCCCAGGTTTCTTATTCTCTCCTCTCTCTCACTCATTAGACACTCTCGCGAATGCGGGCGCTCTCTCTCTCTTTTTTCTCTCTTCGTAATTCTTTACCGTCTAACCCTCCGTAACGTTGGGTAAGTCGCCTAAACGTCAGGACCTACGTGCAATGTTCCGTGACGGATTGGTAAGGGGTGGTAAGGTTGCGAAGGGGTGGAAGGGTCACAAGGCTGGAAAAGAGCCGCAAGGAAAGGATAAGGGCGCGCTGAACAGAAGTCCTTTCCATAATTTTAAACTTCATCCCCTGTTTTTCGCCTCGCTCGAGTCTACCCGGTATTCAAGGGTTGCGGACTTTCCCTGCAGAGGTGAGATAACGTTGGGGACGCCAGGCGTCTACCGTTCCCGAGAGTAACGTCGCAGACGCTTCTGGGACTTTCTAAGTACTTTTTGACAGCTGTCACTGGCTTCTACGTATCCTACAAGTAGAATGGAACGTGACCTATAAAAATATCGTCCATTGCTATTCCATATGTGTTACCAGAAACATTCAAAATTTCGTCTGTCCCAATTTTCTCGCGACGAAAAATTTTTTGGAGATATTTTTTGTTTATCTGCTTTTCTCCCTCTGCCTTCGCACCCTATGTTCACCCCTTCTCGATGGACAATCTCTCGAGTCGTTGCCCCTCGTTACGCCCCTGGTCACTCACCAAGACGATTCCTATTAGGGGTTGGCGAGTGTTCCGCTACATTGGAAATCCTGAGGTTCGTTTCCACTTGAAGGAATTTTTAGGAAAAAGAATGGATCCACCCTCCCTTTACCCCTCCGGATTTCAAACCGTCCTCGTACTTTGAGATTATGGTGGTGGAGATCTTCCAGAAGGGGTAGTTTCTTCCTTCCAGAGATTAGCCGTATCGCGTTTCAGGAAAGTAAGAAGGGAAAGAATGGGTTACCTTTAAGGGTGTCTGCCCTTTAAACGCACGCACGCTTTATACAACGGGTGTTCGTGAGAAATTCATTATTATTCCTCTCTTTGAATTTTTACATTTTAGCAATGCTTAATTGACAGCCGTTTTGCTATTGGTTATAATGGGAGGGTAAAATTACCCGTAATATTTTCCCTGTAGATTTTTTCTGTTTTACCGACAATTTAGTCTCTTATAGTTTTATTGGGCGGTTGGGCAATTTTCCAAAAGTCACAACTTCCCTGGTCCAGGGTTGTAACTTTTTGAGGGGGTGTCTATACGGATGTCCTGGGAAAAAGTGTTTGAACGAAATTTACCAGCAACATGCTCGTGAGATAAGACGAAGAGAAGAAGTAATATGGGGTTGAAAACAGGAGAGGGCCGGGGGATGTAGAATCGTTGCTGGATTCCTGTAGGATCACTCTTGCAGGAAATCGATCGAACTCTCAAGCCGCAAGTTTTGTCGAGAAGAACTGAACGCTTCGCTCGATCGTCGTAATATATTCGACGCCCTCGACGCCCTCGACGCCTTCGTCGTCCTCGTCGCTCACGCTCCCAGCTGCCTCCCTGGCTAGCTGTACGGCTGGCTGGCTCGTTCTACTTCACCGGAGGTTGGGGTTGGCTGTAGGTTTAGGGCTTGGAGTCTGGGTTAGGGGATGAAGCCAGCAGTGAACATCGTCTTGCTGGACCCGAGCTGCTCCATTTCCGTCCACAGCATCCCTTGCCCCGTTTAACCTACCCTTGACGCATTCTCGTATCACTCGCTGCCATATTCCTGACTTCGACCGACGTTTAAAAAAATTTAGCGTCACCTACGAAGTAGAGTAAAAGAGTTTGGTAATTTTTCTTTTTTAGCTCCTAACAAAAAAATTAATCAAATAACCGAACGAATTTTAAACAGTTATTAATTATTGTATCGCGACAATTCTGAACGAAAGTGATGTTATACTGTTTATTTCTTGAATTTTGTGACTTGCCATCTTTCAGCCTCCACGAGAATTCGCAGTTTGCCTTTTTTCATGTTTTACCCGTGTTCGTCAATGTAAATAAAATACTTTGAATTGCGCCATACGAGTCGTATGATATGAAAGATAGAAGCGGATGCAAATAAAGAAACGTCTGAAAAAGAATTAAAGCATAGTAGAAAATAAAAAAAACATTTCCCTCTTACATACTTAAACCTACGACATACGGTATACTTACGTGTATCGATACAATAAAGAAAAAAAATCCCAACATCTTCCCAGTCAAACATTAAAACGAACTCTGCTATTCATACAAAGCAAACGAAACGAAGATAAAAGAAACGGAGAAAACCAGACTAGCAAAAGAAAAGTACAGTGAATCATAAAAATTCGAATCATAACACTACGCATAATTAAGACACTTTCGCCATAATTCTCTATAGGAAGTTACCACCCTGGACTGTTATCACATCGTTTGGCATCCCCTAAAGATATTTTTCAGCCTGAACCTTCGGTGAATTCGTCTCTGTCAGTGGCGGTTCGCGCATACGTTATTCGTGCACGAAGGGTCCGCCGAATAAGGCACGAAAAAGAAGGATAAGGAAGAAGAATAAGAGAGAAGAAAAAGGAAGAGAGAGAGAGAGAGAGAGAGAGAGAGAGAGAAATACCAAGTAAATTCCAGAGGCACAGCAAGGGTAGTAGGTGGAGGGTGGATGGAGGATCGTGATGAGGACAGTAAAAGAGGGCGTAAGCAGGAAGGCTCAGCGGGTAGAGAAGAGTAAAAGGAGTGAGATTATACTGGGTGTAGGGTCAGAGCAAAAGAGAGAGAACGAAGGAGAGAGAAAGAGAGAAAAAGATAAAAAAGAAGAATGACAAGAGGGATTGGTAGAGGATGAGGCTGAAGCGGAAGGCCGCGTGGTAGAAGCCGGTGCTGAAAGCCTGCCAGAGTGATTGCCGCCAGGACGTGGGGTTAGCTGGAACAGCGGATTTCGCGTGTTGTGCGCCCGGGGGCGTATGCCACCCTTATTCGACGTACAGACGTAACATCCCAGCAGCCCTTCTCTTCTGACCTCTCGAGCTCTTGATCTATAGCCACGGTATCACGGACTCACCGGCTGCTACCACGGCGGTCCTGATATATAGTGAGAAGGGTATCAGGTATACCGGATGGGTATCTGGACAGCACCTGAATTGGAGTATTTGAGGTTAGCTAAAATCTTTTTTTTTTCATTTTTTTTTACTGTAAAATACTTCTCTAGTTTTCAATATATGGACTTTGTATATTATGCAAATTTACGCTGTAGTCAAATTATATATTGATACGATTGTTGATGGTTTGGTTTTTTTTGGCAATTTCTATGGATTTCGTGGATTCTTGTAACAATATGTATCCTGGTCCAGGGTTGGATGCTGGGTAAAAAGGATGAGGATTTAACGATGTTTACTGTGGGATATAAATTATTTAATTTCATATCTCTGCCGATATCGTCTCGCCTGGATCACGACGTGAAGTTGTAGATATGAATATAGCTGAAAGGTAGAAGGTGGAGAAAGTAGATGTACAGAAGAGATAAGAAAGTTCGAAGATTTTCGATCCGTTCGGTTCTCGCAGAGTTGGGTTAGCTGGAACGAGCTTGAGAGTCGTTGCGGTAGAATTGAAAGGGGGTTGGAGATCGCGTTGGGGGGTCGCAATTTCCTGGCTCGCTATGGGGGTTAGGGGGTAGCGCTTTTGCCTTCGAATTCTCAGCTACCTCTTGCCAACCTTCTGAGAAATCTACGACTGCATTTTGCATTTGAGTAAATTCGAGCACTCGATTATAATCATGTTAATGTGGTCGTAGGTCATTTTTTTGAACCTTCCATTTTACTTGAAATATTTTCGAAATTCTCAAAAATCAAATAGGCTGTCGTGGGAAAATAATTTTTTTTAATTCTGGAAAACAAATTTTTTAATTAAAAAATAAAACTATCTTCTTCCTCCACCGAGTCAATATCTCTAAGGAAACTTTGCTTACCCCAAATACAATCCTTGTTTAACGTGGCAAAGATCCTGAATTGATCTCAAATAAGAATTGGTCTGCCATTCGATAGTGACCCAATTTTTAGTAATTCCAATATGGCGCTATTCACTTGATTCCCTGGGAGGTTCTGACAAACTGAGAAATCATGTAAAATTCGAAACTCTACTGAGAACCAAACTCGATCTCCAACCCCTTTTGCCGTCCGAGTGTAACTAGTATCCGACTACCCTTGGCGCCATCCTGGCCATAAGAGTAGATCCGACTTTTCGTCAAACAACTCGAGTGGACTCAAGTATCGCCGGAGGTTATTATGTAATTAGAGTACACTTCATGTACCTACAGTGTGCCCTTTGTACTACGTAGTTGTTCTAAAACGCTTTTCAAAATTTCCTATTCAAAATTCCAGTAAACAATATTTTTAATACATAAGTTCATACCTGTGGTTGGACTGGGTATGATTAAAAAATATTTCGGCCTAGATTTTCGTCAGAAGTGTTTTAATAGGGGTTGAACAAATTTTAGGGTATTTTTAGGGCAAGTGGGAGGAAGAGCATTGGTGACTTTAGGGTCCGTATCGGTATCGTCTTACCATTATGATAGTCTTTTAACCACCAAAGGGATGAAGGAGTCCGTTCTCCTGTTACCCTCTTGATTCCTAAACAACCCTTGGTGTATATTTCCAAGGAGGCGCCATCATCGTCACGAAGTCCTATCGAGTATCTAGTAGACGCTACGCGAAATTTATGTTACCTTGACTTATACAAAAAAATGTACAAAGTCAAAATTTACAAAATAAAAAAATCGCTATATTTTAATATTTTTGTATGTCGTTTGCCATTTTTTTTAATTAATTTCGTTATTTTTATATATCAGGTTTATGACCAAGGCCTGAGTATTTACATAGAGATACAATTGTACTAAAGATACTTTCTAAGGGACGTACATACTGTGTAAGGGTAAAATTTCGAAAAGTCAATAATTACGAATACCTATATACCTGGAGCAGGACTAAGGCTGGTAGTTGCCTAGTAGAGGATGGATTTTAATCATGACTCTCCTTTGAGCCATGCTGGCGATTACGCAGCTAAACCTTCAGAGGCAGGGGTGCGCACCATCCCCCGTAGAGGATCCAGACCACCCTCTAGGATTCAACGCGGACTTACGAGGACTAAGGTCTACTCTGAATAAAAATTCAGCTGAAATTGTAAAGATATGGTTTTTTATTTTTATTATGGCTAACTGCTATTATCGCTAAAGGTAGGTTCATAGACGCAAGATTACCGATGGTCCAAGACTATATAAGTGGCTAGTTCACTGTTTTGTTCTTTCTATATATATATATATATATTTATAATAAATAAGAGTCTACATAGAAACGCATCATGAGGTTCCATCCTAAGGGAAATATCGTCATGTGTATTTTCTGCGACAGAACACTCGTTCTGCACAACGCAGCAGGCATCTTATCCGAGATGGAGAAAAATGACAGTGCCAGTAGATAAAATAAGAATCTCATTGTTTCTCCCTGTTTTATATATATATATGATATAAATATTCTATGTATATCCCTTAAATAAAAATTTTACATTTGGTCCAGCAGTACAGCATCCCTGGACCGGAAGTTAATTTCTTCGCTGGTAATGCCCAGTATATTCGTCCTGCATTTTCTCATTTCATCCGTCTCTCTTTCATTCTCTCTCTGTTCATTTCTGTCCAAAGCAGTGCTTCTGTCTTTTTCTAGGCTACTAAGGGTTCGGATATACGGAGGATCCAGGGTCTGTTACGGACGTTGACAACGTAGGGGATGAAAACGGCGTCAAGTGGAGACCGGTCGGAAATGAGCGATGGTACGGTAGATATCTTTCCGGGTCGACTTCCGGTGAGCTACGACTTCGCATTCCCGATGTAAGGATCGGCAGAGTCCGACGTTTAAAAAAGCGACGCAACAGCTGGACGTCGCGACGCTGTTGACCTCTCGCGACAGAGAATCGCATGAGCGAAGTACAGGAAACTCTGAATGAAGTTTTTTGAGGTAAATATCAATATATCACCCTTGACTCTTACGTAGCGTACGAATCAAAAGATTTCTCAAAAGCTCGCGTGACAGTGGAATGAATGAAAATATAAAAAGAAATTTTTTCCAAAATTAACATAACACTCGAGGATTATACTCGAAAGCAAAAATATTGTATATAAATAAAATTCAAAATTTTCATTCCAATTCGTAATACCCTTTATCACTGTTCTGTTCCGTAGCCCTCATTCTGTATCTCTATCACCAATGTATTTTTTTCCTACTCCCTCTCCACAACAGAATGCTAAAAACGAGCGGAGTTTGGATCGCGCCCCCAGTTACGAGAAAACCGCAGCGCGTTCCGTTTAGCGAGAGATGAATCACCGAGTGCAGAGGGTGGGCAGAGTGCAACCCTGCGCCGCTCACGTTGCACCGGGTGCACTCGTGTGCATAACCTGGAAGCCTGGAAGCGTGTGCCGATGTACCATATATATACCCCGGCGGCGTGTGCGGGTATATCGCAACGCAGCGCGCCCTGGAAAAGTAGGGTGCAATTACCATTGCCAGCACCGGACGGGCGCACGCGGCTGTTACCACTCCCACATAAAACATAATATCCAGGTATCATTACGGGCGCGTCACGCTCGAAAAAGCTTCTCTTTCTCTCGTGCCGCCATTAGCCCCCCCCCCCCC